TGGTACAGGTACATCCGGTCACTATATGAGCAACAGCCATAGACGGCGGGTAGCGAGAGAGGGAGTCATCCTCGCGTGACATACAACCGTACAGTATATGCTTTACTATAACAAAAACTCCATTAAGCTATATTAATGTATGTATCGTGCTGGGTAGAAGCAAGGCATATGTAAAGAAGCCCCTGACTGAGGATTACAATAACATGGAAATATACTTTAAATGGAAGAGTTTCGGATCACAACCGAGACGGACCTCGAGGCGAACATTTCACCGTGTCGTAGTGACGGTTTCATTCGTACCGAGTTGCAGAATATAGTCGTCGACGACACGTATGATTTATGAGAGGTGACCAAGGAAATAGTAGTTGATATTAGAGTGAACAGCTACAGCAATATACAGTATATCGGTCTAATTGGGATCTGCCAAATATTATTGATTCGTAAATAGTGTCGGTTTAACGTCACAATAAGAATTTAAATCGGGGCGTCGCCGGTCGTTTCGTGGCGGCTGACCCATCGCGATACAGCGGGTTCGCTCGCCCCGTTGCGTCTTTCCGATAATTCCTCGGTTCGTTTGACGTAAGATCCCATTAATGACCGGCACGGCGTCGGCGTCCATTTACGACACGCAATCTCAATTCGCTTGACGTGCGATCGGAAGCCTCGGAGGATTCGCATCTCTCAAAAACATACGTATGCTCAGAGGTGTAGACGTAGAGTTAGCAACAGTTCTGAAACGGGTCGTGTAACATTGGTCGAATCACGTCGACCCCGTGGCTAAAGATATTATTTTGGGGTGAGCGTACACGTCGATTATAAGCCAATACAGGAGCTTCTCGACAGACGGACGAGTCGAGTTCCCGAGGCTCGTTCGCGAGTCCGACTTAACTCTTGTAGATAATGATATACAGTAGAGCTATACCGTATATACCCAGCACATTACGGTACAGTCGGTCCCCGACTGACGACGGGGTTAGGGACCGGCAACCGGGTCGCAAGTCGAAAATAATACCGTACATAGAAAATCTAAAACGGGTGTCAATTCTTCTTCTCGGCACCACGAGAACTCTCACTCTTACGCTTGCCAGCCATTTTAAAGGGAATTACAAACAAAAATTTTGTCGGTACACAGCGCAATCACTCACGTCAGGACTTGAAAATAGGTAATTTGACAAAATTTTGGTACGACCGAGGCGGTCGTAGGTCGAGTAGGTCGTAAGTCGAGGAGTAGCTGTATTTAACTAGTGATAACAGAAAAAGTTATTTCTTTAATGTTTTGTTTTTGTGTTTTAATGTTTTGTCTGTGAGTCGGTTCTCGTCTTCAACGTTTAGGTCACGAAGGAGGCTTAAATATATCTAGAAAAAAAAGTTTAAGCTCCTGCGTAAATATCACAATAGATTTGCACTGTCCTCTGTTTGGTCACAGCAGATTATGTGAAATTCGAGCGAGAGAGATTTAAATAATAAATCCCTCAAAATTGTGCGTTTCTCCCGGAAGCACGAAAAGAATCCGTCAATAACGTCGCAGTTTCGTTCTGTGTCGGTCACGTCCACGAAATGTAGACGCTATTGGACTGTACGAAACCGGGTATGCCGATTAAATTTTTGCTCGTCCATCGCAAGAAGTTAGGTAGTTTAGATTAGATTAGGTTAGGTAGGGTTTTCAATGTTTTTTTTTAACCCTTCATGTTGAAAGTAACTTTTTTTGGAAGATTCATTGTTTTTGTTAGTGTAAGGAAATTAAGATCATATAAATTTATTAGAAAAAATCCAAATAAATACTGGTAAAATTATCGTTTTGGCCGTGCATCTATTTTCCAAAAGTCATAATCGTTCAAAATATCCATAAAAAACGTTGGAAAAAGATAATTTCAACTTTACGTAACCTATTTGATTAATCGGTTTCTCCATGTGGTGTTAAACTATTGAGTAATGTTTATTTTTAATACAAAGTTGTTATTTGACCCGGATTCTGGGCCAAATGACCGTCGGCTATTTGACCGGGACCTGCGGGGATCGTGTGGGATTGTAGTCGGGATGGTTGGGGGCATTAAACAAGTCATTCCATTATGGTATTATTTAATTGTATAATTTCTGTTGACAAAAGGATTTAGTTTTATTTTAGATCTTTGTCAAATAACCGGCGGTTATTGTGCCGAGTACTGGTCAAATAATCCCTGCCTATAATATAATAGTTTTACAGTGTTGTGTATTATATAGGTATCTGTTACATTTCAAGGAAGCTTTAAGGACCAACAACACATCTCGGTACGACAAGTGGAGACTCGACCGTACAGACCCGTCCGGTCTCGCACACGACGCCGTTAACGGCAAACGGAGAAACGCCGCCGCCGCCGACCCGCGGGAGGTAAGACCGACGTCGTCACTTCGCGTCGTGTCGTCGGGCGTACGAGCCGAGCGTATTAGAGGACTTGTATTTAAGTGCACTTGTACAGTAATCCTATAAAAGTGGACATTTATGTAAATGATTGTGTCTAAAGTCACTTCCCATTGGTGTCGGTGGTACGGGACCTCTCAAAATTGTGGCCCAGATTCACGTTTTTCATCCCAAACCAAATTTTGAATGTGTGTTTATTTCGTTATTCTTTAAAGTACAGTGCAGTATATTAATAACTTTTAGCTTCGTTTTCAAAACATAATGTCATTGTTTATTAATTATGATTCTTTACAAATGCTGTACTACTTTTTCTGCCTGTATGTTTCAATTCAGTTTATGAAACTTTTATTTGCATAGTTTTGAATAAGACTACAGTACTTAGTACATAGTTTAAATGTTTGCATATCAACAGTGCAGTACTTTATCTTAAGTAATATTTTCAGGTACTTTCTCCATCACTGCCTAAAGTGGACCTGATGTGAACTAGAATGAAGTTGGCTGGACCTGCAGTGAAGTGGACCTGAAGCTAACTGGACCTCAAGTAGTCTGTGGTATTGTATTTAATATTGTTGTGGTACTTTGAATGTTAGGAAAGTTGTACAGGCATTCCCCAGTTTGTAAGAGTACTGTGTCTTATAAAAACCTATGGTAAATCGAATCAATATTCCTATAGACTCGCATTATAAAAGCCAAGATACTTTTCTTCAATGAAAAAAGTTCCCCCCCAATTATGTAGTCTCCAAAAAGTATCGATAGATTTTCTAGCGGTAAAATTTGAAACGCTGGGTGAAAGACTTTGATGTGTTCTCCAGTGCATCAGCATAAATTGGTACAGGTACATCCAGTCACTATATGAGCAACAGCCATAGACGGCGGGTAGCGAGAGAGGGAGTCATCCTCGCGTGACATACAACCGTACAGTATATGCTTTACTATAACAAGAAATCCATTAAGCTATATTAATGTATGTATCGTGCTGGGTAGAAGCAAGGCATATGTAAAGAAGCCCCTGATTGAGGATTACAATAACATGGAAATATACTTTAAATGGAAGAGTTTCGGATCACAACCGAGACGGACTTCGAGGCGGACATTTCACCACCGTGTCGTAGTGACGGTTTCATTCGTACCGAGTTGCAGAATATAGTCGTCGACGACACGTCTGATATTAGAGTTGATATTAGAGTGAACAGCTACAGCAATATACAATATATTGGTCTAATTGGGATCTGCCAAATATTATTGATACGTAAATGGTGTCGGTTTAACGTCACAATAAGAATTTAAATCGGCGCGTCGCCGGTCGTTTCGTGGCGGCTGACCCGTCGCGATACCGCGGGTTCGCTCGCCCCGTTGCGTCTTTCCGATAATTCCTCGGTTCGTTTGACGTAAGATCCCATTAATGACCGGCACGGCGTCGGCGTCCATTTACGACACGCAATCTCAATTCGCTTGACGTGCGATCGGAAGCCTCGGAGGATTCGCATCTCTCAAAAACATACGTATACTCATTCGTGCTCAGAGGTGTAGACGTAGAGTTAGCAACAGTTCTGAAACGGGTCGTGTAACATTGGTCGAATAGCCTCGAAGCACGTCGACCCCGTGGCTAAAGATATTATTTTGGGGTGACCGTACTCGTCGATTATAAGCCAATACCGTATAGGAGCTCTTCGACCGACAGACGAGTCGAGCTCCCGAGGCTCGTTCGCGAGTCCGACTTAACTCTTGTAGATAATGATATACAGTAGAGCTATACCGTATATACCCAGCACATTACGGTACAGTCGGTCCCCGACTTACGACGGGGTCAGGGACCGGCGACCGGGTCGCAAGTCGAAAATGGGAAAATAATACTGTACATAGATGGGCGTCTCATTTTCTTCTCGGCACCACGAAACTCTCAATCTTACGCTTGCCGGCCATTTTAAAGGGAATTACAAATGAAAATGTTGTCGGTACACAGCGCAATCACTAATGTCTGCATTCAAAAATACATAATTTGACAACATTAAGACCAATCCCCACATGTGAAGGGACCCATACAAATTGAACATTATGGCCATTTTTCCGTATTGTATTTACTAATTTTCTACATGAACCAATAATGTGTCCAAAGACTGGACTCCCACTGTTCAAAGAATCCAAAGCTGCCCTACTATCAACAACAAAATATGCATCTTTATACCTCTTTACAACATTTTCCAATCCTACTAACATTGCATATAACTCAGCTTGTGTTGATGAAATAAAACTTCTCAACCAAAGTCCAATTTTGATGTCATCATTTCCTTGTTCTGTGTGCTGTCTTATAAGGATCCCGCACCCTGCCCTGCCACTTGACATAACTGAACCGTCACAAAAAACATGCAATGTGTTTATTTTAGGCAAATTACTAATCTTATTCCCATATAAAGCCCTTAACTGTCCTGGTTCATGTAATGATTTCTTCATTGTGAGAGGCACTATGTCTAACTCTACTTCTCGTTCTTCCCAGGGTGGATTCTTACAACTCTTCTGAACAGCTGTACACCAGTCTGCCAGATTACATTTTTTAATAATATTTACTAATCCATTCATGTATCCTCTCTTGCCTTGCCTGCAGAAGGTCCTTTTATCTTTTAAACCATCATTTATATCTTGTACAAATTTACCCCCACTGTTCCCTCTCATTAATCGAACTGCTGCAACTGTATTAATTTCATTGACCCTCTGTGAAATGCTCTGTAACCCTAGTTCCATTTTCATTATCTCAATCATTGCATTCTTTTGACACCCTAAAATAATTCTCATTGCTTCATTTTGCATGATCTCAAGCTTCCGTAGCCTTCCTTCACCAGTACAAGAGAGGACAGGTGCTGCATAGTCTATAAGTGATCTGATGGTAGAAATACACATCATTCTCAGTATGGGTACCCCAGCACCTTTACCACAACATGCTAGAGCCTTCAAGGGCTGTAATCTTGCTCTACATTGAGTGAGGACATGATATATTTCTGCCTCTTTACTTTCACTAGTAAAGCCAATATACATTCCTCAATATTTATACTTTGACACTTTCTCAACAATTTTTCCATTTAGAAAAACGGATTCAGTTCCTCTTCCTTTACATTCACACTTGGTTTTTTCTTCATTGATAACTAAGCCCATCTTTTGAGAAAGAACACTAAAATCATTTAATGCAATCTGCAAATTTTTTACAGAGTTTCCTTGAAATAAGATGTCATCTGCATAAATGATGGTTACAACTCCTTTGGGATATTTGTGTGAGGCTATCTTGTTCATTAACACATTAAATAACATTGGACTCAATACTCCCCCTTGGGGAGTGCCTAGTTCAAGTGCTCTTTCCTCAGACAAACATCCCTGATACCATACACAGATTCTCCTTCCATGCAAGTAGTCACCTATCCAGTGTAACAACTTTCCTGATACCCCTAGAGCAGCCAGTTCATTCATAACTACTTCACTGTGAGCTTTATCAAATGCTCCTTGTAAATCCACAAAAACTCTACATCTGTCTGCATCATTTGATAAACATTTTATAACACAGTCTGAAGTACATTTCCCTTCCAAAAAAACAAATAAATTACAAGATAGATTTTCCCCACAATATATACAAGCCTATTTAATAATACTCTCTCCATCATCTTGGAAAAACAAGATGTTAAAGACACTGGCCTGTATCCACCAGTTGCCTTAGGGAAAGGAATAACTATCGCTTTCTTCCATTCTGTTGGTAATCTACCCTCTGCATAGCTCATGTTGAATAAATCTAATAATGGACTATTTTCCATACCAACTAAGCAGTTCAAAATTTCATATGTCACACCATCTTCGCCTGGTGCTGTAGATTTTCCTTTTTTAACAGCATTTAATAACTCATCTTGAGTAATATCTACACATGTTACATCACAAATATTTAGAGCTGATGAAATAAATCTTTTTCTTTCATTTTGCCACTCATCTAATGCTTCTATTGTCCTGTTAGGCAGGGAGGCAACACTAGCAGCTTTAGCCCATTTGTCAACCAGTTTATTAGCTTCTTCCTCTGGATGAGGATGGCTAATAAAATTACTCCTTTTTCCTCTAATTTTGTTAATATCCTGCCATATTTCTTTGAGATTTTTACTCTCCCCAATGTGCTGTGCAAAATCTTGCCAATATTTCTCCCTTGCCTCCTTCCTAGCCTGCCCACATATTTTGGCTATATCCATGAAGATTTCCCTATCTTCTTCTCTTCTACCATTCTTTACCCAATCTTTATGTGCTGCCCTTAACATTTGTGTCCATCCCTTCAACATTTTGTCATTGGTATAGCAGTGTTTCCTAGCCCCATGTCTCTTATCATTTATTTTTTTCTGTGTTGACTTAGTCAAATATATTTCTATCTCCCCAACTAAGTCATTATAAAAGCTATCCATACAGACTGGTGTATAATTTCTGTACCATTTCTCTATATTTTGGGTAAACACTTCTGTGTCATCCTTGTTTAGTTTCAATTTCTTCCTCCTATATCTCACCTGTCTCTTCCCTAATGGTAATTGAACATACACAACAAAATGGTCACTGACTAGCTCCCTTATTATCTCACATTCTCCCTGGACTCCCTGACTGCTTATCATGCAAGCATAGTCTAACCTTCCTCCTTTAATATGAGTCACTTCCTTATTTCCTAACAAGTAAGAATCTGGGTGATCTTGTAAAAATTGCCAAAATTTTATACCATTTCTATTAATTCTCCCCATTGTTTCGAGTCTTGGATGTCGAGCATTAAAATCTCTTACAGCCAAAGTTGAGTCCAAAAACATGCAATCTGGTAAGAAGTTGAGGTCAAAACAGCATCCAGAAATATACAAATTTGCTATGTTCAGTTCTCCTTCCTTCAAATATAACTTTATACAGACACTTTCTATTCCTTGTACTCTACTCGGGTTTCCAACTAGTTCTGCTGGTATGGAATTCTTAATGTATGTTGAGACCCCTCTTATACCTTTACCCGAATAGAGATGAAATCCCTTATATCCAGACAGTTTAAGCAGGTCGCCTTTCCTGTCCCTGTAACGGGCCGCGTTTTCTCTTTTCAATAATTTACCATCCAGCTACTGTTTTCTGTTAGTATTCTATTTACTCATATACTTATTTGTTCTATGTAGCATTCCTCCAATGAGTACCCTGTTTAATATACTTATTCTCCTTCCATTCTTTACATATATATTTATTCTTATATGTTCTTTACCTCTATATACCTTATATTCTTATATGTTCTTATATAAGTAACTCTTATGCTTCTCCACTTATGTTTTCCAAGTCAAGGTTCTTTCTTTTCATTTCCTTTCATATAGATTGTATTTTCAGTTTCAATGTTCTTACCTTTCTGAAGTATACTTTGTTTTATGTCTTTCTTATACATGGGTTAGTCTGGGGAACCATGTGATTCTTTGTATAACACTTTTTATACTTACAAGGGGTAGCTGCCACCACCCAGACTTTTCATTATATAACAGAACTCATGGAAGGGTTTTGGGTAGTGTGGTAGATGTATAGGCACGTGAGTAAGTATTATTTTCTGGGAACCAATGTTTAGAAGGAGTAGAGTGGTGATACTCAGATTACTAACTCAATATTTATTAATACAGTGAGTGGAGAAGATGCATCTTAGATTCACTCAGGCTAAACAGAACCGAAATTAACTTATTAAGTCATCAAACACTTCAAGAACTTATTACCTCATTAAACACCTCCAAATATTCATTACTTTATTGGATACTGTTGTAGTATTTCTGTGACAAGTAAGATTTAGCAATGCTTACACACTGTCAATAACCCTGGACCCGCAGGTCTTACTTTAACAAGGAACAAATTACCTTCTCAATTCGTGGTTAGAACCTCATACTCTCAGGTTATTCTTTCATGGGTACTACAGATGAATACATAACACATTGGACTAACTCCACAATTATAGTAACATACAATACCTCCTGTTAGTTTGCAAGGAACAACCTGGTACCTTGAACTCTCATTCAGTGGTTCAATACTTAACCTGGGATGACTATATTTCTGCTAGTCATCCCTAAGCATGGATATTAATACGGCTCCATACATATAACCAAGAACAGTGGGTAGACCATGATCATATGACGGAGTCAGTAGGCCAGAGTTGTTTACAGGCTCGCTCGCTAGCTCGGAGCGCCTGGCCCAGGAAAAGTTGACTGTGGCGGTGGGCCGTGGCGTCTGCCAAGGAATCTCGCCCTGGGATTCTCATCTCGCCACCTTAAAGACGTCTTAAGGCTAGCTAGATCCAGGATTAATATTTACACATTTTATATCCTTTCCAATCAGATTCTTTAAGAAGGCCCAATCCTCCTGCACAGATTCCCATTTCCTCAAAAGTTTTTCTTTATCAGCATCTTTACACTTTACCAACACCTTTTTAAAACTTTCAGTTGTTGCTCCCTGCGCTACACAATCCTTTATTTTCCTCTCCTTCCCTGTAATACTTATTTTAAGCACTGAATTTTTCAAAGGCTTGAGCTCTTCACTTTCCTCTTTCCCTTTTAATTCTACATTATTCACAGCTTTGTTTTCCCTTTCTTTATTTATCACTGTATCAAGTCTTTTCTCTATCACTTCTATTTTCTGACCTAACTTTTGCAAAAGCTGAAACATCTTAAGCACCTCTTCTCCCAGAATTTCTTGCACAGTTTTATCACTAACCTGGAGGGCTGCACCACTACTCTCACTTGCTACTTGTTTATTACTCTCTTTGTTTCTGGCATCAACAACGCTTCCGGCCGCAAGCGCAGTCCTTATCCTTCTTGAATCTTCATGCCAGGCATTCTCAGGAATCACTGTCTGTGTGTTCTCCTGCTGTCTTGTCACTGTCAGACCACAGCGTACTTCCTCGGTGTTCTCTGAATAATTCCTTTGTTGGTCACTTCTCATACGTGGCCTCATCTCGCATGCAATTGAACTAGCATTGAGAGTTTTACCACACTTACAACAACAAGGCTTCACTTTCTCTCCTGCTTTGATCTTGTCCTTACAGTTGCTAGATTCGTGCCTCTTCCCACAGAATCTACAACGTGGGTCCAGTTGACAGCTCCAGGCCTTATGTCCCCATCTGCAACACTTGAGACACATTATTGGTCCCCCCACATATAGTGCCACCTTCCTATACCCTGCTCCTGTGATGAACACTTTCTCTGGAACCTTTCCTCTCATTAGAGCAATAACCTGGCTTCTCTCTTCGCCCCTTATTAAATGCCTCTTGACCCAAACAAATCTTTCGTCATCCAATAAGTATTCTGGGTCTAGTATTACAGGGTACCTGAAGATTATAACCTTTGTAAGTAGTATGTCGCTCTCCTCTGGCAAAACCATCAGTAATCCCTTGTACCCAACAGTTGTCAACATTTCCACAGCCTGTAAGATAAGGCTTGTGTGTGCCTTCTTTCAAAAGAGGCTCAAAGCTGCGATGCTCCCGTCCTAGTTGTACTGCCCATTTTAATTTTTCAAGGAAGGTCATCGGGCATGACTGGAAAAATTAATCTCTTCCTGACACGACCAACTTCACCTTGTGTGTGTTCTTGTCTGCTTCCTTCAAATTCCATACTTTGCTCTGTTCTTGATCCATTCTCCACTATCTCCTTTCTGTTATTTCCATTATTATTACCACCCACACACGTTTTTTGTCCTAGATGATTTTGTCTCTTCTCCTCTCTCACTTCTTTGCTTTCACTGTCCTCATGCCAGCTTGTCTCCCTCATTGTTTTAGAATTTTCTTTCTTATTCACTACCTCTTGTTGTAGCTGTATTTTCTCACTTTCGAACTTCCCTTGTGCTTCATCACTCGTATTAGACTCATCACTACTCAACTCAAGGTCTTCAAGAACTTCGTCCAATACTATCTTTTCTTTACTCTTCCATGTAGAGTTCTTAAGCGAAAATTCACTTTCCGTGGGGCAATGTTGACATCCCACAACACCCAGCCAGGAGTGATGGGACCCCGAGCAGTTATTTTTGTAAGGTAAACAGTAAGTTCCCAACACTAAAGTTGCTTGACGATACTTATCTTATCCTCGGGTCCTTATACACAAGTAGGTAAGTCTATATATCCTTCAGTTAATGTAATAAGCTCGAAAACATCCCAAATTTGGGAGCTAGCGCTCACAGCTGTGTTTACCGGACCAAAAAAATGGCCGCTCCGTCGTATGTCGAGTAGGTCGTAAGTCGAGGAGTAGCTGTATTTAACTAATGATAACAGAAAAAGTTATTTCTTTAATGTTTTGTTTTTGTGTTTTAATGTTTTGTCTGTGAGTCGGTTCTCGTCTTCAACGTTTAGGTCACGAAGGAGGCTTAAATATATCTAGAAAAAAAGTTTTTGCTCCTGTGTAAATATCATAATAAATTTGCACTGTCCTCTGATTGGTCACAGCAGAGAGATTTAAATAATAAATCCCGCAAAATTGTGCCTCTCTCCCGGCAGCACGATAAGAATCCGTCGAGATCGTCGCAGTTTCGTTCTACGTCGGTCGCGTCCACGAAATGTAAACACTATTGGACGCGTACGAAACCGGGTATGCCGATTCGGTTTTTGTTGGTCCATCGCAAGAAGTTAGGTAGTTTAGATTAGGTTAGGTAGGGTTTTCAATGTTGTTTTTTTAACCCTTCATGTTGAAAGTCTAACTCACTTTGGAAGATTCATTGTTTTTGTTAGTGTAAGGAAATTAAGATCATATTTATTTATTAGAAAAAATCCAAATAAAAACTGGTAAAACTATCGTTTTGGCCGTGCAGCTATTTTCCGAAGGTCATAAAAGTTGAAAATACATCAAAAACCATTGGAACAAGATTATTTCAACCTAACCTAACCTATTTGAGTAATCAGTTTCTCCACGTGGTACTAAACAAACAAGTGCCTTTATTATAAGTGTACGAAGATGTTATTTGACCACGATTCTGGGCCAAATAACCGTCGGCCATTTGACCGGGACCTGCGGGGATCGTATAGGATTGTAGTCGGGATGGTTGGGGGCATTAAACAAGTCATTACATTATGGTATTATTTAATTGTATAATTTCTGTTGACAAAAGGATTTAGTTTTATTTTAGATCTCTGTCAAATAAGCGGCGGTTATTGTGCCGAGTACCGGTCAAATAATCCCTGCCTATAATATAATAGTTTTACAGTGTTGTGTATTATATAGCTATTGGTCACATTTCCAGGAAGCTTCAAGGACCAACAACACATCTCGGTACGACAAGTCGAGACTCGACCGTACAGACCCGTCCGGTCTCGCACACGACGCCGTTAACGGCAAACGGAGAAACGCCGCTGGGAGGTAATACCGACGTCGTCACTTCACGTCGTGTCATTGGGCGTACGAGCCGAGTGTATTAGAGTACAGGTTGTACCTCTCTAGTCCGGCATTCTGTGATCCGGAACGATTTTAGTTTGTCCAATAGGTAGATAGGCAGCTTTTTTTTTTTTTTAATCTTGATTATTATTATTATTATTATTATTATTACAGGAGTATTAAATTTTTGCCCCTCAGGCCCCAATGTGGGTCAGTGACCTATGCCCGGGTGGGCTAATCCCCGTAAAAAAACAACAACGACAAAGCCGGGGGAAATTAAGGTTTGTTTACATCCGGCAGCTCTCTCTCTGTGCTTGTCTATACAGAGCATAACATTTAACCCTTCAATATATATTCTAGCAGTAAATAAGTGTTGCTTTCATATTCTTAAGTAGAGTAACGACGACATGTTTTCACGTGTGCGCACTTACATACGCTCAGTTTCACTTTTTTTTTTACCATTGATGGTTAGCTACTTATATTGTTCCATTTATTAACATTAAATAACATTACTTCAAACAAGCATATTAATTTTTTTACATTAATTTTACTACAGCTACAATCAGGGTCTTATTTTCTTCAGTTTTATATGTAGAACCAATCTGTCACCGGTTTTGTAAGCTTTAACAAAAACAATGCCGGCAGCCGTCTCGTCTCGTCGCGCGTTTTAATATTACACGTATTAGTAATAAATTGTATTGTTAATTTTGCACACACAAACATTAATTCAATAAAAACAAATTCAGAAACATTAATTAAAATATATATGAACAGTAAATAAGTGTTGCTTTCACATTCTTACGTAAAGTAATGACGATACGTTTTCACGCGTGCGCACTCGCATACGCGATCTCTGTTTTTCTTTACCATTATCGTTAGCTACTTCTATTGTTCCATGTATTAACATTACTTAAAAGAACCATATTAATTTTTCTACAGCTACAACCAGGGTCTTATTTTCTTCAGTTTTATACGTAGAACCAGTCGGTCACCGTTTTTGTAATCGACGAAAACGGTGCCGTCTCATTTCCTCGCGTTTTAATATTGAGCGTATTATTAATGAATTGTATTGCTCATTTTGCACACACTAACATTAATTCAATCCAAAAGACTTTCAGTAATAAATAATAACGAATCTTTCGTACATAAGAGAAATAACGCCGTTTACACGATCGTGCACGTCGTCCGAACGTCGGCGGGCCATTCAAACCCGTCGAAATTTGAGTTTCCGCCGTCAAAAGTTTTAAATGTGTCGGCTTTTTTTGTGCGTTCAAATAGAAAACGTCGAATTAAAAACTCGCGAAATTTGAGAAGGTACTGTACGACATTTAACCCTTCAATATGTCTTCAAAGAGACCACGAAGCAGAGAAAGTGGTGCTAGTGCTTCCAAGTGTAAACAGAAGTCACTATCTGTCCAGGAAGAGGGCGAATTTCCACGGTCGGGAAATTTCCGGCGTCCGGCACCGGTCGGGTCCCGTGGTTGCCGGACCGGAGAGGTACAACCTGTACTTGTATTTCAGTACACTTGTACAGTAATCCTATAAAAGTGGGCATTTATGTAAATGTTTGTGCGTAAGGTCGCGTCCCATTGGCGTCGGCGGTACGCGACACTTCCAAAATATGGCCCAGATTCACGTTTTTCATCCCATACCCAATTTTGAATGTGTGTTTATTTCGTGGTTCTTTAAAGTACAGTACAGTATATTAATAACTTTAACTTTCGTTTTCAAAACATAATGTCATTGTTTATTAATTATGATACTCTATAAATGCTGTGGTACTCTAAATACTTTTTTCTACTTATATGAATCAGTTGAGTTGAGTAAACTTTTATTTGCATAGTTTTGAAGAAGACTACAGGACATAGTTTAAATTTTTACATATCAACAGTGCAGTACTTTATCTTAAGTAATATTTTCAGGCACTTTCTCCAACACTGCCTACAGTGGACCTGATGTGAACTAGAATGAAGTTGGCTGGACATAAAGTTTACTGGACCTCAAGTAGTCTGTGGTATTGTATTTAATATTGTTGTGGTACTTTGAATGTTAGGAAAGTTCTACAGGCATTCCCCAGTTTGAAAGAGTACTGTGTCTTATAAAAACCTATGGTAAATCGAATCACTATTCCTATAGACTCACATTATAAAAGCCAAGATACTTTTCTACAACGAAAACAGTTCCCCCCAAATTATGTACGGTCCCCCAAAAAGTATCGATTGAATTTTCTAGCGGTAAAATTTGAAACTCTAGATGAAATACTTTGCTGTGATCCCCAGTGCATCAGCATAAGTTGGTACAGGTACATCCGGTCACTATATGAGCAATAGCCGTAGACGGCGGGTAGCGAGGGAGTCGTCCTCGTGTGACATACGACCGTACGGTATATGCTTTACTATAACAAGAAATTCATTGAGCTATATTAATGTATGTATCGTGCCGGTTAGAAGCGAGGCCCCAACCGAGGATTACAAAAATATCGGAATATACATTAAACGGAAGAGTTTTGGAACGTCACGAGCTAGACCGAGACGGACCTCGGGGCATACGTTTCGCCACCGCGTCGTAGCGACGGTTTTATTCGTACCGAGATGCACAATGTAGTCGTCGACGACACGTCTGATTTTTGAGGAGTGACGGAGCAAATAGTAGTTGATATTAGAGTGAACAGGTACAGCAATATACAATATATTGGTCTAAATGGGATCTGCCAAATATTATCGATACGTAAATGGCGTCGGTTTAACGTCAAAATAAGATTTTAATCGGCGCGTCGCCCGTCGTTTAGCGGCGGGTAACCCATCGCGATGCCCGAGGGTTCGCTCGCCCCATTGTGCCGAGTTATTCGAGCGTTGCGCGTACCCTCGTCGCGAAGGCTAATAATAGCGCCTCTCTCCCCGTTGTGTCTTTCCGATAATTCCTCGGTTCATTTGACGTACGATCCCGGTAATGACCGGCTCGGCGTCCGTTTACGACACGCAATCCAAATTCGCGCTACGTGCGATGCGAATCCTCGGAGGATTTGCATCTTTCAAAAACACATACAGTCGTGCGCCGGTTAACATCCGATAGCATATACAGTCGGCCCTTAACATTCGCTGGGGTTAGGTAACAGAGATACCCGTGAATGTTAAAAATCCGTGTACTATTGCTACCCCCCCCCCCCTAAAAAATCCCTGGCCCCCCATGTCCTTATTTACCGTATATACCTGTGTGTAGTTTGAGTTTTTAAGACCAAATTATTTGGCAAAAATTGGGGGTCGACCTCTAAACGGGTAATAGTTTCGTTAGGTTGAAAAATATTTACCAGTAAACAATGGAAACGATGCACCAACACACCACCCGCTGTGAGTGTCGGTACAGTTGCCAGGGCAGATCTGTTGCGAGCCCAAAGTAGCCAAATCCATGGTATGGTAGCACAGGACGATGTAAAACAAAGTATTCATTTATTAAAGTTAATTTATAGATACTGGACATAAATGTTTGTTCATTACATTTGAAACATCAATCTTTGTTAATTAAATTTGAAACAAGAGAAAACTACGATACTGGATTTTCATTAAAATATTACATCACAAGTATATTTTACCTTAACTGTGACTGAATGAATATATTCTCGGAAATAAATATGGAAATGTAATATTTTTGCTGGAATGACGTACATATTATAGTGGGAAGTGGGATAAAATCACGAGGAAAGACTTTCGCTTTCTTTCGTTGTTCAAAATATTTTACCGTAATCGCTTTTCGAATGGTTTTCAGTTAAAAAACTGTTGTATTACAATAATATTCTATCCTAATTCACTTGTGATGCAACAGTTTTTTAACTGAAAACCATTCGAAAAGCGATTACGGTAAAATATTTTGAACAACGAAAGAAAGCGAAAGTGTTTCGTCATGATTTTATCCCACTTCCCACTATAATATGTACGTCATTCCAGCAAAAATATTACATTTCCATATTTATTTCCGAGAATATATTCATTCAGTCACGGTTAAGGTAAAATATACTTGTGATGTAATATTTTAATGAAAATCCAGTATCGTAGTTTTTTCTTGTTTCAAATTTAATTAACAAAGATTGATGCTTGAAATGTAATGAACAAAAATTTATGTCCAGTATCTACGAGTTAACTTTAATGAATGAATACTTTGTTTTACATCGTCCTGTGCTACCATACCATGGATTTGGCTACTTTGGGCTCGCAAGAGATCTGCCCTGGCAACTGTACCGACACTCACAGCTGGTGGTGTGTTGGTGCATCGTTTCCATTGTTTTCTGGTAGTTACTGGTAAATATTTTTCAACCTAACGAAACTATTACCCGTTAAGAGGTCGACCCCCAATTTTTGCCAAATAATTTTGTCTTAAAAACTCGAACTACACACAGGTATATACGGTAAATAAGGACATGGGGGGGCCAGGGATTGTTTTTTGGGGGGGGGTAGCAATAGTACACGGATTTTTAACATTCACGGGTATCTCTGTTACCTAACCCCCGCGAATGTTAAGGGCCGACTGTACTTCAATTACTTCAATGTACAGAATATTCCTCTGGCGGGGCAATCCGCGTATTTGCGAATCCGTGAATGCTAAACCCGCGTATGTGAAAGGCCGACCGTACGTCCGTGCCCCCCCTCGAAAAAACACTTCCGTGATGCCTGCTGGACCACCACTCCAAGACCCCCCTGATGGAGACACGACGATCCTTCCCGTACTGGCTAGATGTTATGTGTTAAAGGAATATCATTCCTTAGGCTTTAGTAAGCATTTTCCTCCAGGTGTAATGTTAACCTACATCTATTGAGGATAAAATCTTTCACCTACAAATTGACAATAACACATTTGCTGTAATCGGACATATCTAGTTGCCTCAACAATTGCAACCCTAGTTGCAATTTGAAATTCTGTGTCATTACTGAGGAATAACGAAGTCTCTGGTGCACTGCACTCTAAGATTAAGAGAAAATGGACTCGGGCATCCCGAAGGGAGAGAAAACGGACTTCCACGACGGGAGACTCGAGCACTAACACGTGCCACTCATACCGAGAGACTTGACAAGTTTTACCGACCATTAGTGATGTACGTTATCTAGTGAATTTAGTCAATATTGTACAGTATAAGTATACTGCAATTACAGCGGTCCCTCGGTTAACAATGGACCCGAGTGCAAACCCTTACTGTACGTGTACTAAACGATTACGGTACTTAAATTGTTATGTCTATGGCAAATATAGATTGTTTACACAGATATTCAAATACTATCTTACAAGTTATATTCACCCAGGTCGTTTGGGTGGCAAATTATGAGAAGAGCTTAGTCACTCTTAAGTAATGATAAATAAACACTCGGGCCTTCAGCGCCAACTGTCAAATCTTATCTCAAATAAATAAAGACATTGTCACCTCACTTCCCCCCCCTGCTCGCTGGCTACCTCCCTCCTTGTGTTCCCAGACAAAACATTGGTGATAACTTTATGCTTTAAGGTGTTTATTTTATATAATATCTCAGACTAAAGTTAGGGGATTACAATTTGCATAGCTGGAATCCTTGCAAGACAGCCAATAATTTGAATATAAACATTATATATATACTGTATTTTGTTGAAGATATAAAAATTGTAGTACATTTTATAATATAAAGTTTTTCAACTGTATTTTTGGGTAGATTTATATCAATTTCTTCATTTATTTTCATCCATTTACATGCAGACACCACAATAAAAGAAACGTAAAAGAAATAAACGACCTCGGTGCAAAGCCGGAGCATTGTTGTACTAATTTGATTACGGTACAAAAATTGTTATGTCCGGTGCAAATTACAGCATGTTTATATTCAAATTAATCAGTATGTTACAAGAATCCCAGCAATGTTAATTATATTGTACCAGGTCATTTCACTGGCATTTTAAAATGAGAGAAGCTTAGTAGGACTGTTAAATAAACTCACAGAGACCTTCGGCTCAAACTGTCAAACATCTCCTCTTAACTCTCTCCCCCATCTGTTGAGCCAGGGTTTTAGGCTTACAGTTTTTATCTTACATAATATTTCAGACTAAAGTTAGGAGATTATAATTTGCATTGCTGGAATCCTTGCAAGACAGCCAATAATTTGAATGTTAACGTCATATATTTTGCTCGAGAGATAAAAATTGTTGTACGTTAGTGTACAGTACTGTAGTACATTTTATAATATAAAGTTTTTGAACTGTATTTTTGGGTAGATTTACATCAATTTCTTCATTTCATCCATTTACATGCACACAGCATACTAAAAGAAATAATTGACCTTAGTGCAAAGCTGGAGTTTTGTTGTACTAATTTGATTTGGGTACTAAAATTGTTATGTCTAGTGGAAATTATAGCATGTTTATATACAAATTAATCAGTATGTTACAAGAATCCCAAGAATGTTAATTATATTCACCCGGGTCATTTCCCGGCCGGGAAAAAATGCGCCACAGACCCGGGCGCCAACCGTCGGTGTCGCCGGGCTTTATCTTAAGTAATATCACAGACAAAAGTTAGAATTTAATTTGCATTGCTAAAATCGTTACAAGACGGCTAATAATTTTAACATAAACGTTGTATATTTTGCACAAGAGATAAAAATTTGTAGCCCTTTGTAATAAAATTAGTTACAACTAAAATTTGTATGTGAACTATAGCATGTTTATATTCAAAGTAATCACAATTTTATAAGAATTCCAGCAATGTTAATTATATTCTTCCAAGTCAGTTTAGTGATATTTCATAAGAGAAAACCTGAAAGTCACTGTTAAGGACAGATAAATAAATAAGCTCTAGACCTTGGCATCAACTGTCAAACCGATAACCCTCCTCCCCATCTTGCCGCGAATCCGATCACGAGTAAACGGGCCATTTCGCGTCTCGTAATTTTAGCCGCGTCGATTTACGAGCGTCCGTTTTAACGCGATACTACAAAAACGATGTTTTGTAGGAGATGGGCCGAGGTGCATTTGGGTATATTGGGTCTTTTTAGTATTTTGTGT